ATTGAAATTCACGAGGAGTTCAAATGGTTATATTCAACATTGGAAATGACCACGAGATAAGAATTTTAATTTCGTAACTTTCAATCAAAATGGTGGCAATATATTTGACGCTTGCGTTGTAAGGATTAGTTGTCGAGGGTTTTTTTCTAGTAGAAAAAGTCGGGGTATTTATTTGTTTCGAAAGACTGCTATATATTTTTCAATAGCTAACCTTGGGCCGTAATTAATCCGAGGTCGCGATTCTGGTAGCCACCATTTTGGTCGATATGATTTCACGAAATATTTTAAGTTGGTAAACAACGTTGAGTTTTTAAGGTGGCACTATATTTGGCAACACCATCTAAATTTTTTTTTGATTTTTGTGATCAAAACGCATGCATTTTTTTTTTCGGAATCGACGAAGTAATGTAACATTGATTTTTCGGTTCTTTTTTTTTTAGGCAAGAGGAGATTTAAATGGCCTGTACGACAACAAAATATATTTGGCAACAACGAAATTAACTCTACAGCAAATAAATTATCTTGCTAGAATAAAAATCACACATTTTATTCTCTTCAGATCAAATATAATCTCGAAGATGTATTGTGTGACCGCATGCCTGTAGCGTGAAACGGAAAAATATATTTTGGAACAAACGAAATAATTCTGTAACAAATTAAATTGTCTTGCTGCTATTAAAATTAAACTGTCATCGAGCGTCAAACTCATAATGCCAGGACCATGAAAATTACTCTTGAAAGAGTACGGATGGTAATCTAAATTAATCAAATGACTACACAATTGAACAATGAAAACTACTTGCAAACATGTCCAACAACCTTAAACACACTCGACTCTGGCCAAAAACGAAGATCGCCGAAGATCGGTGGGCCGACGTTAGAATTCCGGAGATCACTCCAAAATTTCCGAAGACTTCCGAAGATTTCCCAATAGTAACGAAAGTTTTGGGAATAAGGGAAATTTCTCAGAGATTACAAACTGCATTGAGAATCTTTATTGTAATTACCGAGATAGTTGTCTTTCGCTGTAAATCAAAGCTTTTCTTGCACATTGTTGTACCACAGCTACTTTAAAATAAATTGAAAATATCTTCAGGTTATTGGACGTACTACCACTCTTAATTTCAGAAAGTGCCATCTTAAAGACGAGTCAACGTTAGTTTAACCTCTAGATATTGAAAGGTTAACCATTCCTTTAAGATCAATATCTGGTTTATAAAAGGTGTTTTAAAAAAAGCAGACAAGTATAGCGAAAGTGATGAACAAAATCATCGACTAGGAATTATTGTCTTGATGTGCTACTAAATTCTCAGGACTACAAGTAAGACCAAGTAAGGCAATCGTTGAGGAGAGTTGATGTTTTCAGCTTGAAAGTATGAACGAGTTCAGGCCTGCGGAGTTCGACTGAAAATTTAAAACCTGTTTCTGTTCTGTAACTACTTGAACATTTGCAAATCAAAGTCGATTCTGCTATCTCTAGTTTTTGAGCAATTGTCTACCAATGACCTCCAAAAAGAGAACTTTTAGTACATCTACCACAAAGTGAACATTTAAAATTAGCTATTGCAATTATATTTTTTTTAAGATTTAAATGGCTGCCAACAATTTTGTGACAACCATAACCAAAACGGACCAGGAACAAATTTGTTAACAAGGATGATTATATTTGCATATCAATTAGTATTAAAAACGTGCCTTGTTATACACAGTTCTCGTGGCGCCTTTGTAAAACATGTTTGTTTTCCTTTGTCATTTCTAACGTTAAAATTTCTAGACTTCCAAAAGAAGTGAAAAGCATTTTCCTTCGTAAGCTTTGTTCAGAATATGGTAAAATATTTTCGAAAACATTTCGACAAGAGATTTAAATTTTCACGGTTGATTATTTCGACATTGTTTTGACTTGACTAGTCATAAAATATACTGAACCGGCCGAAGAAATTTTTCTTTATTTAGGAATAAACATCTTTGTGCTACCAGATATTGATTATTTTGTGGTGTTTACACTTTGGTTGTTGCACGGGAAAAGAGAGCAAAGCGAACGGTCCCATCGGAAGACAAAATGTAACTTATTTCGGAACTTAAATGGTTAGAAACCATTGAAATTTGGTAATTTTGCGGGGAGACAATGATTGGATTTTGATTTACGAGTGTTTTTGCTCCTGTGCAACTGATCCGAAGTGTACCATCTATGTTATCGCCTGACAGAGAAAGATATGAAATGACAAGCTACAAACAGTTGCAGATTAAACACGATTGGATATAAAATTAAACTCGGTTAGTTTAAACGGTATTTCACGTTCGCTTTGCTAGATTTAAAAATCCATGTCGGAGTGTAAATTTTTTGTGGCCCATTTGATCCATTTGTCATTTCATCTTTTTCCTGTCTTGAGGAACTCTTGCGTCACCTCGTACAAGAACCATCGTCAAGTTCGATGAAAAATGAAATTTTAAGACTTTGGCAAACTTATTTCGAAACGAAACAAAAAACAACCTTGACAATCAAAATTGCTTTTTCAATGCCAGGTGATGCAGTAGTTTTTGATGGGATTTTCTGTTAACTGTTGCCTTTGAGAATTTTTTCGCGATCAAAAACTTCTGAAGGGTAACCTATTTAAATTTTTCTCAAAAAAGTTGTAAGGGGAAACGCTGTGCAAATTGTTTTAATTTTCCCGCCAAAAGTCTTAGTTTTTAAACGCGATTTTTTCCTTCACACGTTTTACTTCAATTCAACTGATCTTCACCTAATTAATTACTTACTTTCACTGTTTTGCAATACAAACAATAAAATTAGATTAAATGAAAACAGCAAGTGTTGGTTTTTACTGTGTACATTATTTTAGCATTGTTAAAGAATATTAAAGACAATAAAAATACTTCAGCAAATAGAAGTCAATTACACACGCGTCTTCAATATAACTTTTATTGGCTTTTTTATCATGCAATGAAAATTCTTTACAAACAATTTGAATAAGTAAACAAAATAAAAAAAAATTGCGCTTTTAAAAGGGCCTGGAAACAAGTCGGAATGTAGGCTATCTCTTTTACTATTCTTTGACTATGTAGGGTCGCCAAAAAGAAAAAAAATTCTGCGCTTTTGAACAGAGTCTAACCAGAGTTCAAGCATGTACTGTGAGGTTTGATGGGAAAAATCCTACATAGTGCTTGATTTTTTCCGCCAAAAGACTCAGTATATGTTTGACTCAAAACCAGACACCATTTAAAATTGCAGACTTTTTTTTCTAAGGACAATTTTTCCTCTTTACGATTTCTTTCTTGGCCGTTTTAAAAGCGCAACATTTATATCAATTCAATGCGTCCTCGAAAACTAGAAAGATTTCCGTAAATTTGTGGAATAGATACTAGATAATTAGACAGTAATTTCAACGAGTTTAATAACGAGACTTCCAAGCTGACGATTCGGAAAAACTAAACCAGGTAATGCTAATACTCTACCTTTATTCTAAAGCTACAAACTCGAAATACAATTCATGCCTTCCTCGAAAACTA